AATAAAAGGAATTATTAATAAAACATGATATAAATTGAAAATAAATAAAACTAAATCATAACTAAAAACCAATAATCAACAAAATAATTCCTTAGAATTATAAGTATAAATTTCAAAAAATTATAAAATAATTTTCATAAATAATTAAAAAATAATTATAATTTAAAAAAGTAATAACTATATTTAGTAAATATGATATTTAACATATGCTGTTAGGAGAAATTATAAATGATAGTAAAAAATTAAAATAGTTAATTTAACAATTTTAAATATATACCATATAAATTAAAAATAATTGAAAATTTTTTTTTAGACATTTAAATATTTGAAACATTTTCTATAGTCATATATATATTATATATATATATATATATATATATATATTATATATATATATAGTCAATGTAGAGTTTTAAATATATAATTATAAATATAGGTAATTGAAAATAATTATTAATTATTGCTTTAATCATGGAATTAGTTAATATAAAAATATATGAAATATAAAAATAATGAATAATAATTCATCAAAATAATTATATTCTATGATAATATTTGTAAAAACTATAAACATATTGAGAAATTTATATTTAATAAGTTAAACCCATATATAATAAATGTTTACAAATCATTATATTTTACAGTTCCAATGGAGATGTCAATTTTGTTGAAAGAACATTTCAATCGTTGGTATTCACTTAAAGCCTACTACACATCGATAACTATACTTGATCTACCTATATCTGTTAGTATAAAAAAAAATCATTATTTCTACACAATATCACATTATAACAAATATTAATTATTTTCAACACAGATTCTTTGTTGTTTCATATTTTCCATAATTATATATTTCTGGAGTTATCAACCAATGGAACTGTCAAGATTTAACATGTTCTTTGCAATCAGTGTTCTAACAGTATTCGTTGGCCAAAGTTTCGGTTTAATTGTTGGTGCATGGTTCAGTGTTGTTGTAAGTTAAAAAAAATTATAATTATTAAGATATTTAATTAGATTACAATTAAAAAAATAACATAAAGAATTATTAGAGTATAATTATTAACAAAAAAAAAAAAAATATTTCCATAAGTCATATTAAGTAAATATAAAAATTTATTTTCTATTAATGAATATAACATCAGATATACAATAAATATCTCATGTTATATTCCTATTATCATATTAGTTTTATATTAGTTTTTATAAATTCCAATAATAATAGAAATTTTTGAAGGAGCTAAAAGAAGGAGCTTCGTCACGAGTTTTCACGAAATATCATATTTTGACCATATATAGTAAAAAGTTTTCCTATTTCCAAATAGATTTTAAATTTCCATTTTTATGGGAATATTACATTCTACAGTTTTATAGTTCCATACCATTACTTTGCAAATGTATATATCAAATCTTTGTATAGTGAACTTCAGTAAAGTAAACAATAAAATACAAAGTAAAACCCTTACAGCTTTCTTGCAGTAGTCGTTATTCACCAGCCTTTCTTGATTAAATGGAACTACAATACTCTATATACAGCATAAAAAATCTGAGTTGATAAACGGCTGCAGATTTTCTTTTCTGTCCAAGTTGCGACGATATATACCACAGACCCGAAGAAAAAGTAATGACATTAAGTTTTTAAAACTAAAGTGCTTAATTAATGACGGAGATTATTTTTACAAAATTTATTAATGTAAATATAATGGCGATTTCCATAAAAACTATTTTTTTTCTCTTCATCTTCTCAGTCAAGCTCATTAATTCATTGGAATTTCAGCTTGGAAGACGTTTAATGAACTTTCTAGCTAAAAGAATTTCTTTACGTCTTTTTTAGATAGATAGATTCGTGTGCTCAGTTTATATTCCATCTTTGAACCATTCATGAAAATATTGTATTCCTGTTTAACTATGTTAAATCTATTCTTCCATTCATGTCTCGATGAAAAGCTTATATAAATGGCTTTTCTAATTATGTGGTTGGAGTTATGCCCGTTATCAATGACCTTCCAATACTCACCCTTTTGCAAAAGAAATCGTACAAATACGTTATTGTTGTCTCATGTCATTATCACAAAGTTATGAATATACCTACTTGCTTTTAACTAAGAGATCCATCCATTATTTAACATTGAGAGACCTTAAAGTCTGCTGTTTAAATTAATTTTTAAATAACATTCTATTTTCATTGTTTTTTCATTAGAACGGTACCTTCCTAGCTCCAGTACTTACCATACCAATGATGATGTTTGCTGGTTTTGGCGTCACACTAAGAGATTTGCCAAGCTATCTCAAATGGGGTAGTCATATTTCATATTTACGTTATGGTTTAGAAGGCTTCATTGGTGCCATATACGGAGAAAATCGTGGAGTATTAGATTGTAATGAAGCTCCATACTGTCACTACAGGTAAATTACATAAATTAGTTAATGTAGTAACTAATTTTACCGACCTTTTTCAATAGATACCCGAAAAAGTTTCTCGACGAGATTACAATGCGTGGCGATCAATTTTGGAAAGACTTCTATGCACTTTGCATCATAACCGTTGCTTTCAAAATACTGGCTTACATTGTACTAAAAGCAAAGATTCAGTCCGTTAAATAGTTATTATTTATGAATTTAAGAGAGTGCAACGAAAGACAATTATTGTTATGTTATTTTAATTTTTATTTAATTTTATTTCTAGTTATTAAGCAAAAGACACAAAAGACAAAGTAAATGTTATTATATGTAAATATAAATTATGTTATTTTCAGACAAATAAATAAATATAAAAGCTATTAAATTTAAACAAAGGAAAAATTTAAAAAAATTATTTGTTAAAAAACTACCAATTCAGTTGGACACATACATGTGTCCACATGGACATGTGGATTGCAAACCACATTTTGAAAAAATTAATACTGATCTTAAGAATAACTTGGATCCTATCTCAAAGAAAAATTGCATATTAAATCACATGCGCTCCGTGGTATGTCAAAAACGAAATCTACAAAGTGATCTAAATCTATTAACTGTTGAAGAAGTTATTCGCCAATAAATACCTAAATTCCGAGAGAGATTCAAGTCACATCCAAATTCTCATGTTCGACATTTATCTTCTGCAACTACACTGAACCGCCTTAAAAGAAAATCATTGATAAATATGAATACCCTAGCTCAATAATATAAATGCTAGTTTTTTAAGATTCGCACAATTATTGTCAATTTCTATTTAGAAAGATTTTTATTGAATTTTATTGGAACCAATGAAAAAAAAAATATTAAGTCATTAACCCAAATAACGCTAAATGCCTTTTGTTGTTGAGTTGGTGTCCCATCCGTTCCGGGAGTGATTTAACAAGCATAAGGCAATCATTAACATGTTATACTAAAATGAAATGAAAAATTGAAATGGTAATAATAATTCCCTTTCATAAGACATATAAAGGTGCGTCCTACTTTATTTTACAGTATATTTTATCAGAATAATATTCGGATATCTAATAGTTGGATCAAACAACATCAAAAATAAATAATGTTATTCAGCATGACGAAAGCCGATACTAAAAAAAAAAGTCGACAATAAATTAAGGTATTGTAAAAAACAACAAGTGCCTTATCCTATTAACTCGTATCGAAGTTTCACTAATCAAGATTAGGAAACAATATTGATCGGACGAAACCACATGTTAATTGAGCTTAAACGACGTCATCAGTTATTAAATTTCAGTTAGGGCACACTTCCAAAATAGACGGATGGAGGCGAGATTAATATTCATCGATATGCGATTAAAGATTAAGTACTCCAGAACAATGGTTACTTGAGAAAACGCATAAACTGGTCTGTATGACATACATCCCATCTGTGTTTGGGATGCAGTTTGAGCAGTATAAGGCAACTTTTGTGGCTTAGGGAGAAAGATTAATGAGTAAATATATCAATTGTCCATGCATACACAAATTATAATTCAAGCTGATGGATACTTTTCGTTCAATATCGCAGAAATGTCAAAAGAAAATGACAGACAATTGTTATGAAAAAGTTTCATTCTTGATTCTTCTTCTTAAGTTAGTGCTATTACGCACTTTTACTCTGTAATGGCTGGGGGGCTTATCTCACCCCACACTAGGCTTTAACTAGGCTTTAACTAGGTTAAAAAAAAAAATCATATCATTTATTTGTCTTTTAGCTGATGACGGACCTTAAATCAGCATATCTTCCTGAGAGTCCAGAAGTAGACTTGAGGATTGTTAGGGCGTGGTTAAGTAGCATATCAACTTTAGTGAATAATTTTAGAGCTCTGTCTCTGATATATTTTTTCACTGAGTCAATCCTAAGATCTCTATGTATGTCTGTTTATCTAATATACCATGGAATTTTAAAGTCTTCTTAAAGCCAGTCTTCTTTTGCTATTTGTAATTGCTTTAAGGTAGTATTTGAGGCTTTGCTATATGTAACACATCCGTACAGTAAATTTTATATTTAGATTTAAGATCACATTTCTATTAAGTGATACCTTTTAAAATAGGTGCAATGAAGACTAGAATGAAACCCGATTGATCAAGAAGAAGAAGATGCCCAAAGATAACATGGAGGCGAACAGTATTCACCGAAACATACAAATCGTTTAACGAGCTTAGATACATGACACGGATTAGGGGAAATTGGAAACTTTTTGTAGACTCGAAAAAAGTAGATATGAAATCAATTTATAATTGTAAATACTCTTGAAGCATGGTATATTCATTATCCACTTAATCTACCTATCCATCGATTACGTGATCGTATTGCTCTGTTCTCCGTAGTCTGCTTAGTTGTTTCTACATTAAAAACAATCTGTCTTTTTAATTAAATTAATGCTTGACTATTTTTTAGAAATAAGAAAGATTGTGTTTAAAAATAGACTAGTCAACTTTGAATTTAAAAAAAAAAATAATGTTATTGAAACTTTTTCATAATTCTGTCATCCAAAAATTTATAACTGAGAAAGTTTGTTTTAGCAAAAACATTATAAGAAAAGTTTATATTTATTAGAAGATTGTTACAATATTGTTTATTGACTACCAATGAAAAAAGATATTTTGAAACCACTCAAAAGTAAGCATATCCATTAAAAGATGAAGAGACAGCTACATGCTGGAACTGAAAGCATCTATTCCCAATTTTTAAGAATGGCTAAAAGCAATCAGACACTTCGCACAGTTTTCCTATTAACAATTGGAATAACAATGCATCTTCTAAAAGTAAGTTTCTACTCGTACTTGTCCTACACCGCAAAACTAATCGTACCAAGCATTCAGTCGGTTCTATTATATGCAACTGTGTTGGTGACATTTAGTCTTATAACGGTGCCACTCCATCCCAGAGCAGGACGATTAGTGTATTATATAATACATGGTTTGATATTAATGGCTGAACTTTTTATGAGTGAGCTATTTATGTATATATGTTGGATAAAGTGCGGAACTGCTCTATATTATTTATTGTATGCATTTAACACAGAATATGCATTCCGTCCAGTTCGATTTCTTTTTACATTACTGATTTGTGGTACGCTGATGTATATTGTTGCATTTGGAAAGAAAATGTTCATTCATTTTGGAAGAGAAGAAGACGGTATTCAAATGAGAGGTGGTTTGCGTGCTGTCAAGGCTAAAACGCAAATACCACTGCGTAAGCGTGGAAGACCTCGTAAAAATCAACAAAATTAACTAAATATAATTGCATTATAAAAGCGTTAGGGTTAGGGAGGGTCCATGAACATCACAAAAAATGTTATCAATCGTAATCGCATTAGGGATGGACTAGGAAGATTTAATGGATATGAAATGTGAAACATTTCCAAACGCAATTTTCGTTTAATCCAACAAGAACAATGAAGTCAAGTGATGTTCATTTAAAAATATTATTTATTAGTTAATTAGATCAAAAAGCTGTACTGTGGGCAAAATTCAAAAATATATATGAGTGCAATATGTGAGTAAAACGTTATATATGTATACAGTCAAACTTCCATAACTCGAACTTCTATAAGAAGTAAGAATAAGAAGAAGAATAAGAAGTAAGAATAAGAATTCTTTAATTCGAAGTCTCCATAAGTCGAACCTTTTCTTTGTAAAATGGTACTTCGAGTTATAGAAGTTTGACTGTGTTTATAAAATATATCCTGAGTTATGCTTTCATATTATCATCTTTTTTACAGCCTGTCTGCATACTTTGTTTTTTCAAATGGGTGCAGTTCCGTGCTTTTCTATATAATACTTATAACATGGCTTATATTTAGTACTAATAAAAGCGGCTTACATTGACGTTCAGATTCGTTTTAATATTGAGGAAAACTCGGCGAACTAACACTTCGCATGCAAATGCTTAGATCTTATTCAGTTTGTGGTAATTACTTATAATTATAATTATATTTTTATAATATTATATTACTAACACTCATGCTTAATAATGTATTTACTTTAGTAACTAAATTTGATTTCATTACAGTTGAGTAAACTTTCTCGGTAGAAGACTTCTTTCGAAACTACAACTAGATGCTGTATGGTGCTCTGCTACTTGAAGCTGCAACAGAAGAATTGATTAAGTTCAATATATGCGAAGAGACCATAAACTTTAGTTACAATAGGATGACAATCCATAACATTCGCTTATGTGATATAGAACTACTTAATTAAGTCATCACCGGAAGAATTGTGGAACTGTGACAGGAAATTGTAGTTGGACCAGAAAGATAAATTGCAATAACACAGCCTGTAGAGATATATGTAGTAGCTTCCTGGGAGTGGTGAACGACAAGCTACGAGACATAGATCCGACCTCTGCTGGACCGTGTTAGTTGTACACCTATCTGCTAAATCCAAAGACTTAAGGTCGTTACAAAGAAGTTCAACGAATCTGTAGCCGCTGTTTATGCTTATAATTCTATTTATTTTTGATTTTTTTTTTTTATAATAAATGCAAATTTCATGAATCAACTTCTGCATAATTTTTGATTTATAAAATAGCGAATATGGTATACTATTGATTGAAGTCCATTAGCCTTAAAGTGAATTTTTGTTTTGAATAATAAATCTGGCACTTTGCATTTATTCTGGCACTGTGCAATATGGTATGGTTACGCTTTAGGAACTTTAATTCTATGGCAGTCTAATTTGTAATCAATTAGTAGGAAACAAGTTTTGATTGTGTAGTAATTGGGTGATAAAGGCATATTAAGCTTATAGTGATAAAATATAATGAAATCTGCATAGCAGAATAGTACAAATTTTTACATTAACCATCAGAAGCTAGAGTAAAATACCAGCAAATTAATATGGTTGAGAATTACAATCGGTTGATACCGTATACCACATTAGATGTTGATAATTTAGATACAGAGTCCGAAATGCCTTTAATAAAAGAGCATTATCAAGTTCTGTCTAAGCAATATCTACACACATGCCCTACAAATGGGCATTCAAAGGGCTGCATGTTGAATAGAATCCTCTCTTCACATTGCATCTGTCGAACGTGTTCTTTGTATGATGAATAAACCGACACTTATTAAAGGGGTTCTAATATCAGTAAGATCGCATATAAATAAGGGCTCATATCTGTCCATACCAAAGCTATGTCTTCTTCGAGATCACAATTGTAGTTGTAACAAAGTTTATCACAGGATTCCCCTTGACATCTACAGAAAAAAGATGCATTCCTTGTATAACAAGACTTTTTCTAGTCTAATTGATGTTTTCATGAGAAGTAATAGATAATGTGTGCCCTAGTTCCAGTTCTACTTTCCATGACGTCGTGTAACTGTTGTCCTGTTTAAATCTATACACTCATTTGAACCCAATTGCTTTATCTCTTCAACTCATTGAAGTGGTTAAGTTCACTTTCATCTCGATTAGTTTTAATTAGCACTCACCCACATCCTTATACCTCCTACATTCCTTTCGACTTTTTGTCGTAATAACATTGAATTCAGTAAATGCATTTAGGTGTTTATAAGACACCGAATTTTTCTGTCGATTTTAACGGGAAATTGTGAAGTAAAGAAAGGTGTTAAGATTATAATAAGTATCTTTCTTTTATTCTATTTGCTTCTGCAATAACACAAAAAATAATATTAAAATATATTTGAATAATACTACAATAGTACCCAGTTACAATACAATATATGTTAATCTATTGTTTCTGCTTACAGGGTCCCCAAAATTATCCGAATTAAAATCGCACAGACAGTTGATGATTACTGCACAATAATTATTTCCTGATTTAAATGAAAATCACACAATTTAATTGTTAATTTTATTTCTTGTTCATAATGTATTGGTAAAAATGTTCAATCATTTGTTGATTATCTGCGAAGCCTACAATTTCTTTAGCTTGGTCTTTTGGTAACCACTTCATTTCGGTATGCTCATCTGATAGCGTTGGTGCCTTTTGAGGATCTTTTAATTCTGCTAACCAATAGACCACAATTTTTGGTTTATTATTTACATTATAATTAAGCGTCATACAAGAGTCCTTATAGATTATGAGATCATTCTCGGAATAACTATAATCAAGGAGTAATTAATTAATTTTTTACGTGAGTTTTTTAAAAAAATTAATAAGTTTTTAACTTTCTGTTATGTTAAAATCATAATCTATTACTTTGTTTAAATGCACATACCCGGCTTCTTCTTGTGTTTCCCGCAATGCAGTAGTAAAGTCATCTTCACCAGGATCTACGTGACCTTTGGGTGCACTCCAATGATATGTCCCATATGAAGCACGTAATAATAAAAATTGTATTTGATCACATAAACGTCGAAATATGACAAAACCTGCGGCACGTTTGCTCATTTTGAATGCAATTATTATTTGTATAATTATTATTTCATTAATCAAATTATTAAAATTGGCGGAATTGACACTTCATAACAAAAAACAGCTGCTTTGGTGCGGTTAACTTTTTTGTACTGTACGTAATAAATTTTGTTTAATGCGTTTACGTTTATACTGTACTTAAATAATGTCAAAATTTAAATAATTAGAAAACTAGTGTTAATTATTCATATATCGATATTGTAGATATATAAATTTGCTATTACAATCATTAAGTATGATCAAATTAAGAATTACTTTTAATGAACATCAACGATTTTTAGCCTGACATTAACATAAATCGCGTTTATACTAACACAATTACCTCAAATGTGTAGAACTTTCTCATTTATCATATAAAATCCATATAAAAATGTGAGAACGGGGTTTGGAAATCATTAGACTAAAAGTAATTTAAACTACTGCGAAGAGAATTAATAAGGACAGTCACAAAAATTCTCAAGCTGCATTAATTAATGCAATTGCTCGATTGTCTTGTTAAATTTCCATTGCACAAATCAGCTGTTTATGTTAACACAGACTCCATTTTAAGTTTACCAAGTTTCCGCAGCTATACAGTTAAAAATATTTATCAGCTATTTATATGCTATACAAATTTATGTGGTTTACTAGTTTTTGTGAGTATTCTTAATATAGTCTTGTAAGTAATATATATTGCATGGGTTATTTGTGCGTTATTAATATAAAATTCATTTTTGAGATTTGAGTACAACTGTTAATAATAAATGTGCTTTGAATTTTTATGATTACGCTCTCTTTTTCTATTTAAATTTTTTTTTTTTAATTGATTTTAATACTGAAATATATATTGTTTGTTTTTCACTATTATTCTGCCTTTTCTATTTAACAACATAACTTCACTGTCATGTTTAGCTTTAAATGATATTTCAAAGATAAATTCATTTTTGTGATAAATTGATTTTTTTATTATGCATTCGCGTTTACTGTATTCATAAATAGATGTAAAATTTGTTTCTGAAAAATATGAGGCGAAAGTGCTCGCTGAAGGAACATATAGTTAACTTCACAAAACTTCATCCAAATAATTCGTAATGGTTATCTTACACATATCCATACAAAAGTGAACACTTGCAAACGGACGAACTTTTGTAGGTATCATTACCTGTGAAGATGCCGAAAAGTAAATAATGAAAGAAAAAAATCAAAAAACCAACAAGAATATAATACTAGGATAAGACCAATAATTGATATATAAATATTTTCATTTTCTATTCCATTTAAACAAACCACTAAAAAATTTTTAATATTAACAGCAAATAAAATTAAGGGAAATATGCAAAACAGTTTTATTTATTAATATTTATTTATTTTTCTAATGTGGTTTTCAATTCAAAAAACCTGGGTCAAAATTGAGATCACCTTAAAAACGAATAAAAGTAGAGTTAAAGATTTTGTGGTAAATTTTGTGTAAACTACACAAAAAAAAGTCAGTGTGAATATATTGTTTCAATTCAATTATTTACTAACACAACTACAAAAATTTTTGATTATTCTACAACTGTTCAATTGGGCAATAAAGTTTGATAGTCCTAGAATAAATCTGGATTGAATCCAGCGGCTCGTTTATGTAACTTTCTCCATCGTTTTCTCGAACGATTTTTGACAAATACTTCGAGTAATTAATTGTCAAAAGTGAGAAAAATCGTTTGAGAAATGGAAATGAGAAAATAACATAAACGATCCGCAGATTTATCAATCGAAAACGCCATAAGTGAATATTTATTTATCCACTTTGAAATACTCAGTCAAACTTTTTAATGCAACCTCGTACTCAAACAGACCTCTGATGTACAGTACTGCAACAATTTTTATATATCACAAGTTTCTCGAACACTTTCAGTTAACTGTCAACGTCAACTGAATAACAGCTGATAAAAACAAAACCCACATGCTGTTTTAAATCGTTTGCTTTATTACGAATTGTGTGAGATTATATAAATTTTGTGAATAAAAATTAGTTCGTGTTAAATCATAATATATTAAATTTTACGATGTGGTCACTTTTTAGTAGAACCACAAACCATTTAAGTGTGAAAACAGCATTCAACGTAAATGTTTTGCGAAATCTCGCCGCTTTCACAGTGAAAGACGTGCTGTATGAGACTTCTAATGAAACAGGCACGTTGTTATTGCGTTTTGCCAAACATTTGGCGTTGGAAAATCGAAAGTTAACACCTACAGTACCCACCACAATACGTTATTCCAATTATTTTCCCATATCTGATGAGCGTTACTTTTTAAAGGAACTCAGAAGTACACCAACCGATCAATTACCGGCTTTAATAATTTATGCCTTTACATATCGTTCCAATGCCATTCCACCAAAATTCGTGACAGCACTTAACGAAATCAATAATATATTAGTGGAACGCCTTGATGATATGGACGATGATACCATCTACAGTACACTCTATTCTTTGCTGTTTTTGATGCCAAATTGGATAACGCGTACACAGTTCTATAAGGATGCTGTCCAGTGTCTAACAGAAGAACAGTTAAAAACTGCGCCGTCAAAAGAAAAATTTGTACAATTATGTTTTTATTTGGGCTTGGCTAAAAAGCATGTGTTTGTCGAAAAAAATGGAGAACTGTTACAAAAATTAATGGACAAATATCTAAATGACTTACTACCGGAATTGACATCAATGGATTTGGCATTGATATGCAATGCGGCGTTTAAGACTGCCAGTAAGACAGGAAATTCAAAACAGTTTGCTAAACTGATAACAGAAGAAACTCTACGATTGGATATGTCTGCCAAAGGTAATCATGCGCTGCTAGTAACATTTGTAAAAGCGTTGCGTTTTATGCGCGTCCATTCAAAAGAGTTATGTGAACATTTAAGTAAACTATCCACTGAAACTTTTGTACAAAAATTAGACCTACGTGCTTCGGCCCATTTACTAGCGTTTTTTGCCGAAAACATGTGGGATGAGAGTGCCTGTATCGATGTATATCACAAGCAAATAGTTGAACATTTACGTACCTGCAGTCACGGTAATCTCATTTCGAATACATTGCGTGGAAAAGACATCAACTCATATTTGACAAGCTTGTCACAATTGAATTACACCTCCATAAGCGCTGAAGAATTCAAGTTTATAGAAAGTTTAGTTTGGGAGTTGCATGAGCGCAATCATTTCAAATATTTCCCAGACCAATTGGTTGAAATATGTCAAACACTTTGGTTGTTCAACCATAAATCCACAGATCTGTTAAAAGAAGCAATGTACTTGAAGCAAAACGCTAGGTCATTTGATAAGCAGCAGCGTGAGCTACCTAAAGTTGATGGACGTCTGACAGTACTTCAAGTTGCAGCAGCAATTGAAACACCAGAATTTAAACTGAAAATCCCCAATTTTGCTCCTTATGATTTTAATACGGCTGCGCCTGCCTATCTGTTGAAGGGCAGAGATGATATCTCCAAATTTGCAAATCTATTGGAAAGCAATTCATCTGTAGCAGAAGTTAACATAGTATCGCCCATAAAAGGCATCAATATACCTGGTTTGCTAGTACGCCTCAAATCTTCTGCTAAGAGTCAAGCCTTCGTGGAAATACTCACTAATGAGCAAGTGTTACGTTTTAGCAAAGAACCTGCTCCGATTATGCGTTTGAAGATACGGTTGCTCAAGGCTTTGGGAGAAAAAGTCATTGTGGTAATTGTTAATATTATACTAATCAATTTATTTATTGTTTAAATAATAATATTAGTATTAAATCTGAAAAAGACATTGCAATAGCTACTAATGCTATGAATATTACTTATTTTTATATATATTACTTATTTTTATATATATTACTTATTTTTATATATATTACTTATTTTTATATATATTACTTATTTTTATATATATTACTTATTTTTATATATATTACTTATTTTTATATATATTACTTATTTTTATACATATTACTTATTTTTATATATTTTACTTATTTTTATATATATTACTTATTTTTATATATTACTTATTTTTATATATTTTACTTATTTTTATACATATTACTTATTTACGTTTTATTCTTTTTTACAGTTATACCCAGAACAACTGCTTAAAGATAGTGCGCATATTGTAGAGTTAATAAAGACTCAAATAACAGATGATAGTCAAAAGGACGCAACAGATGTAATTGATAATCAGTCCGAAGAACAAATTCCGAAACAACAAACGGTGCAACAGAGTATTTAGAATATACATTCATTAAATCCTACGATTAAGTTAATTTTTTTCTTATGTCTTATAGTAGCTGTTATGTATTATATTGTATATTGCTATATAACATATATTATATTTTATATACTTAAAAACGTTCAAAAGAATTAAGTTAAAATTTTTCTTTTAAACTATAGTGTTTTACTATATAGTAATTATATTGAGTAATATAATAATTTCTATTTCTATATGATTTTATGTAAATAAATGTTTAAGTAGAATATATAGACATTATAAAAAAATCCAAAGCTTTATCTCTAACAATGTGAAAAGTATACATAGAAATGCGTAATTAAATTTTGCTTTTATATAAGTTTTATATAATAAAATACATTTAAGCTTATAACTATAATTCTAGAGTTAATAAACCAATATAAAGCTTTATCTCTGGTAATTTTAATGTTGGAAAGTATACGTAGAGAGAAATGTGTAATTGAATGTTCAATTCAAATAAGTTTTATATAATAAAATACTTTTGAACTTATAGTCATATTTAAATGCAATCAATCGCCAAGCTAGTCACCAAGTAACAACTTTCAGGTCAATTTCCATTGATGAACCCCAAAAACAAAAGGCAATTGTAAAATATTATAATGAAAACCAAACACTTCATTTTCAATTTCATTACTTCGTACACATATAATAAACATCACGAGTATATAGTACTAATTAAAATATCACATCACAAGTAAGCACGATTAAAGTGCCCCTCATCTACTCTGTCTTTGCTCAGCTCATGCACGGCGGCGACTTAACACTTTAGGAGCCCCCTTTCTTGAGGCTTCTTCTTGATGTTGTTGTTGTTGTAACCCGCCGGGACCTGTAAGCAGATAAACATGAAAGGAAACACAAGACGATTACATGAGTAGCGAAATAGGATGAAAGTTAGGGGGGTAATGAAGGAGAGGGGGGAAAGAAGGATGTGGAAGAGTTTCTTCTTGATCTTCTTGTTCACTTCTTGAGGATCATGATCAATAACAAGACCTCTCACTAAACAGCATTCTAAGCTTCACTAAAGGTTCTGGGTGGTTTTTAATCCTTAGTTTTCTCTATATATGGTAACACAATGGGCCAATAGGCTTAAGTGAATCCCCTAGGGAGATCGTCGGTATAACCTAATCTAACCTATCATCAATGAAAGTAAAGATTTCATATACATTAGAGTTGGGAGAGTGATCACATATAAGGTTAATATAATAATGAAGGTCAGAGATGGATCTATTGCGTGTTCATGTACAAAGCATCAGATCTGTTATTTTCTTAATTTATTAAAATGATTATTTTTTAATAATAAACACTATTATTTTATTATAAATATTGAAACTACCGCTCCCCTATTTAAGACGCGTTCCATAGAAACAGAAAAATCAAGAAACGACAAAGTTTTTGCCGTAACACTGGATTCACACGAGATTCAAAATTACAAACAAAACTCTCGTGTAAATCCAGTATTAATTGTTGATGAAAAAACTTTCGATTCGCAAAATAACATGACTATGGATAACATGATTATTCAGAGTGATAACTATATTCATATTGGTATACATGTATGTACTTATAAAAATAGAAAGTGTCAACGCGAATTAATAACCAATAGACATATATATTAAAAATTATTAGAACTATGAAAACTATCGTGTAAGTTAATGATCATTTATTGTAATGATCATTATAACTATTGATCAATTGCATCAAAACAAATATTTCATACGGGATATTGTTTTGATACAATTGTATCAAAACAAGTTACCGTTGGTTATTTCTGCAAAACAATATCCCGTAATGGATATTTGTTAATGAGTTAAAATTATTGTAAAATTAGTTTTTAGTTTAGTTTTTAATACGCTGCGTAAGCGACTAGAATTAGTAAAAATATTATTCGAAGAAATAAAATAATTGGCGCCCGAGCTAATAATATTAGTAACTACTGAAAAGTGCCACTATATAAAAGTGCTACATAAGTAGATCAAAAATATTTGTTTTTTGAAACAAATTTTCTTAAAACAATAAATTTTTTTTTTTTTGTTGAAATAAAAAACTACTCAAAAGTGCCACTAAATAAAAGTGCTACATAAGTAGATCAAAAATATTTGTTTTTTGAAACAAATTTTCTTAAAAGTGACAATAAAATTTTTTTTTTGTTGAAATAAAAAACTACTCAAAAGTGCCACTAAATAAAAGTGTTACATAAGTAGATCAAAAATACTTTTTGAAACAAATTTTCTTAAAAGTGACAATAAAATTTTTTTTTTGTTGAAATAAAAAACTACTCAAAAGTGCTTCAAATAACCGGCCAAGAAACGACGCCCCTTAGTAGGTTTGAATATTCCAAAAAGGAGCTCCTGATTGGTGGAGCAGCAGCTTGGACCAGGGGAATTTAAGTATAATATAAGTATAAGTATATTTAAGTATATTATAGTTTCATAAATTTAATTCTTTGTATTTTGATTATCTTCTTCTATTTGTCGGAAAATTTTTTTTTTAATCGATCTTAACATTAAGTTTTTGTGATAAACTTTTCGAATTCTAAATTAGTCCAAATGGCAAATCCAAGTAATATTATTAGACCTTCCATGTTGGGAAGTGATGACGTGCCAGTTTTTTCCATACCGCAGATTTCACCATTAACTTCGACAGTACAATCAGATTTACTCAATAATATAAGAGAAATAGTTACACAGGTGATAGATAGAAATAGTAGCATAAACCAGACAATAATAACTGACCAAACAATAGATGACAAGTACAAAAATAATATAAGCGACATGGACAAAATTCCTGACGTTGTTCGCTCTTTGAGAGAATTTTCCGGTAACCCTGCAGAATATAGCTCATGGAAAAAAAGTATAGAGAGAATATTAAATATTTATGACCAGTTCAAAGGTATACCCAAATACTTCGGAATTTTGAATGTAATTAGAAATAAAATCATAGGTCAAGCTGATGTAGCTTTAGAATCCTATAACACGCCTTTAGATTGGAGTGCAATTGCACGTTGTCTTACAACTCATTACGCTGATAAACGCGACTTAGGAACATTAGAGTATCAAATGTCATGTCTGATACAAGGACGACACTCTATCCAAGATTTTTATCAACGTGTTTATTCACATTTGTCATTAATTATAAATAAAATAAGCTGCATGGAAATTTGTGAGGAGTCAAGGCGGATATTAACAAAAAATTATCGAGATAAAGCCCTTGATACATTTATAAGAGGACTTTCTGGCAGTCTTCCCATGTTACTGGGAGTGAGAGAACCCAAAGACTTGCCTGAAGCACTCCATCTGTGTCTGAAATTGGAGAACCAAAACTTCAGATCACACCATGCTTATAACAAGAACGGTTATATACGAAATTACTCCCAGCCACAAATACAACAAAGAAATATCCAATATAGTCACCCATTCTATCCACAATTGGCGCATATGCCACAATATCAACAACCATTTAGACCCCAAGTACATCACCCACAATATTATTTTAACCAGGGTATAAGACCACAGCAAATGTATCAGGAAAATCCATACAGTAATCATCTACCAAGACCCATAGTACCAAAATCGATTTCAAAACCAGAACCTATGGATATAGATCCCAGTTTGAGAACAAATATGGTAAACTATCACAATAGACCAAATTTCAGACATGCACAAAAACGCCAAGAAAGCACAAACCTTACTAATCCTCCAATAAAAATACAGAAAAATTTTCACATAAACACAAATCGACAGGACATAGAATATTTTCCCTCGATTGAACATGAACTTGTTCAGTCCGACTATAATGAAAATAACACGTTCGATAATGAACAACAGGATTGCATGGTTAATTATGAAACAATGAATATTGCAGATATTCATTTTTTAGATTAAACGTCTCTTCGTTGCCTTATTGTGAGTGCAGAACGAAGAGAGGAGAAATTCTAAAAATATTAGTAGATACCGGTTCTAATAAAAACTATGTTCAGGCAAACTGGGCTAAGAAGATAATACGAAATGACAAAAACTTTTTTGCGAATTCGGTAGGAGGAAAAATAGAAATCACACACCACACATATGTAAATCTTTTCAACTGTACAGATATTAAATTAAAATTTTATATTCTCCCATCTTTAATTTCATTTAATGCCATCCTGGGTAACGACAGTCTTAAAGAACTGTCTGCGGTTATTCATACTAAACACAACTTTATGATTATTAGAAATTCCATTAAAATTCAGTTAAAGCAATTAACATCACAGGACGTCAATTTTGTTAATTTAAGAGATACACATATGAATTTATTACAAAAAAAACTAATGAAAACATTGATACATCAACATTTAGAATTGTTTTCCGAACCAAACGAAAGATTAACTTTCACCACACAAGTTGTCGCTACCATTAGAACAAATTCAGATACTCCCGTTTACACTAAATATTATCCATATCCTGCATCTTTGAGAAATGAAGTTGAAAAGCAAATAGGAAAGCTGCTAGAAGATGGAATTATTAGACCTTCTAGGTCTCCCTATAATTCACCAATATGGGTAGTTCCAAAAAAAGAAGATGCTTCTGGAGAAAAAAAATACAGAATGGTAGTAGATTATAGGAAATTAAATGCGGTTACAGTAACTGATAGGTATCCTATTCCTGATATTAATGAGGTATTGGCGCAATTAGGACAAAACAATTTTTTTTCTGTGATCGATTTGAAAAGTGGTTTCCACCAGATTCTTTTAAGAGAATCTGACATTGAGAAAACAGCTTTCTCATTAAACAATGCAAAATATGAATTTACGCGACTACCATTTGGACTAAAAAACGCTCCAGCGATTTTTCAAAGAGCTTTAGATGACATTTTAAGAAAACACATAGGAAGAATCTGTTATGTCTACATAGATGACATCATTATATTTAGTAAAGATGAAAAATCCCATGCAGACCATATACGCGAAATTTTTAATACCTTACGTGAATCTAACATGAAAGTCCAATTAGATAAATGTGAATTTTTCCAGAAACAAATCGAGTTCTTAGGTTTTCTCATTTCTCCCGAAAGAGTCTCTACTAACCCTGCTAAAGTAAAATCAATTGTCGAATTTCCTTGTCCAAAAACATTAAAAGATTTAAGAGCATTCCTTGGTCTATCAGGTTACTATAGGCGATTTGTTAGAGACTACGCCAAAATAGCGAAGCCTCTTACCAATCTATTGAGAGGGCAAAATGGGAGAGTCTCAAAAAATCAATCGAAAAAAACATTAGTTAACCTAAGCAGTGTACAAAAAGAAGCCTTTAACAAACTTAAAAACGCTCTTATCTCAAAAGAAGTACTGTTAACATATCCAGATTTCCAAAAAGAGTTTCATTTAACTACTGACGCTTCAAATCACGCTATTGGTGCAGTCTTAGAACAATGTGGAAAACCAATCACATTCATTTCACGAACATTGAGTAAAACAGAGGAAAACTATGCTGCAAATGAAAAAGAAATGCTGGCAATTATTTGGGCTCTGAAATCTATTAGAAACTACTTATATGGTACTGCAAAATTAAAAATATTCACCGATCACCAGCCGCTCACATTCGCATTGAGCAACAAAAATGATAACGTCAAGTTGAAAAGATGGAAATCAATTCTGGAAGAGTATAATTACGAGCTTAAATATAAGCCAGGCAGTAATAATATAGTTGCAGATACGCTCTCGAGACCACCCGCATTAAATTCGTTATCTATAGCAACTCACTCGGATGAAAGTTCTGGACACAATCTTATACCAGCAATAGAAACACCAGTAAACGTCTTTAAAAATCAGATTATAATATTAGTAGGAAGACAGAAAGATTACCAGTACAAACTACCTTTTCCGACTTACCATCGTCATACAATTACTAGGCCTCACTATTCTGCAAGTGACCTAATATCAATTCTCAAACGTTACTTAAATCCATCACTTATAAATGGATTATTTACATCTGAAGAGATAATGGGTAAAATCCAAAAGCTCTACCCCACAAACTTTGGTAACATTAAAATTAGATTCACTCAAACACAGGTTAAAGATTTGGAAACAAACGATCAACAAGAACAACAAATAATTCTCGAACACAAACGAGCTCATAGAAACGCCGTAGAAAATAAGAAGCAATTATTGGAAAAATTTTATTTTCCTAAAATGTTAGCAAAGGTAAAAAATATTATAAAACAATGCAGGATATGTTCAGAATACAAATATGATAGACACCCTAATAAACTTGAAATAAAATCCACCCCTATACCAACATTCCCGGGACAAATCATTCATATTGACATTTATATTGCAGAAAAGAATTTAGTTTTAACAGCCATTGACAAATATTCAAAATATGCTCAGGCCAGATTAGTAAAATCTAAAGCAGTAGAAGATATTAGGGAACCACTTAGACAATTACTCTTCATCTTCGGAATTCCTCAGTCCGTAGTAATTGATAACGAGAAAAGCTTAAATTCAAAATCAATTATGTTTTTATTAGAAGACCAGTTAAGAATTAAAGTTTATAAAATACCACCTCATACCAGCACAGCAAATGGTCAAATAGAAAGATTTCATTCAACCTTGACTGAAATCTTGAGATGTTTAAAAACAGAAAATATTGAAAGATCATTTGAAGAGCTTCTAGATAGATCAATATATGAATATAACTATTCCATACATTCAACTACAACACAAAAACCCATAGAAGTATTTTTTGGTCGTAGAGTTTTTATAAACCCTGAGCAATACGAACTAGCAAAACAAGACAACATACAAAGACTGACTGAAAAACAAAGAAAAGACGTCAGTTATTATAATAAAAACAAGATACCACCTAAAGCCTATGTACCGGGGCAAATTATTTACGTTAAAATTAATAAAAGATACGGCACCAAATTAACACCGCGTTTTAAAAAAGAAATAGTCAAAGAAAACAAAAATAGTACAATTATTACAGAAAGCGGAAAAACGATTCATAAAAGTAATATAAAAAGTTAACTATTCTTTTTTAGAAATTCAAGATGGATAAAGAAAATAATTATTTATTAGTAAAAGTGTTTTACATGAATTGATTAAATGTTAATAATTTTGTGATTGATTAAGAAAAAAAATGTTTTTTTTCCTCTCAAACGATAAAATAAGATAAAATTTAAGAAATTTATATTGAAAAAAATATATTGAGAAAAATAAGAAATTTATATTGATAATATTATAGCTAAATTGACAAGTTGCATTAAATTAAATTAATTAAGTTATTGAATATTCCAAATGCATGTGCATAGCACACCTGCTAAAAATGGAAATAAATATTGTATTAAGATAAATTCTTAAGAGAAAGAAGAAATTATATTTAAAGAAAATTACATTTATTATATTATAGCTAAATTAAAAAATTATTTTAAATTAAATGAATTAAATTATTGAAAAATATTCCAAATGCATGTGCATAGCACACCTGCTAAAAATGGAAATAAATATTGTATTAAGTTAAATTCTTAAGAGAAAGAAGAAATTATATTTAAAGAAAATTATATTGATAATATTATAGCTAAATTGACAAGTTGTATTAAATTAAATTAATTAAGTTATTGAATGCATGTGCATAGCACAAATGCTAAAAATGGAAATATCTAAATTGTAAAATTATATTAAAATAAGATTGTACGTTATAAAAATATTATTAATGATATTTATAACCATTGAGTAAACTGTTGCAACTCCATTGATCGGGACGCTCAATTTTTAAGGGCGGAGGAGTTAATGATCATTTATTGTAATGATCATTTATTGTAATGATCATTATAACTATTGATCAATTGCATCAAAACAAATATTTCATACGGGATATTGTTTTGATACAATTGTATCAAAACAAGTTACCGTTGGTTATTTCTGCAAAACAATATCCCGTAATGGATATTTGTTAATGAGTTAAAATTATTGTAAAATTAGTTTTTAGTTTAGTTTTTAATACGCTGCGTAAGCGACTAGAATTAGTAAAAATATTATTCGAAGAAATAAAATAATTTGTATAATGAGAGGCAGAAACAATTTTCCGACATATAGAACCCGAAATAGTCAATCTACCGAAATACATTTTGAGTCAAATTTTTTCTGTTTCGAGTACTGCCAAATACCCATCATAAGTAGTCTTTGAATTATTTCTTGTATTTAATTATTCGTAAATAATGTTCTGAAACTGCAAGTACCAGGGATTGAATTCGTTTTCAATTAAAATTAAAAAAAATAAATTGTGTTTGCCTTCTCTGTCTTTTCTCTGTTCAGTTTCTATTATAAGAATATTTTAGCAGAATAATAACATTTATGATATATTTAGAAATTGAGATATATTAATAATACATTTAGTTTGTTATTAAGGCCGTGTGCGAGTTCAAGTAAATTGAGGTAAGTAAATTGAAATTTCTTAGGGATTTTTTGTACTGCATTTATGTAAATATTTATTTATTTATTTATTGCACTTATTTATTATTTTTGTTTAGTGATTTTCAAATTTATTTATTCATTAAACATCTTATATAATTTTAACAATAGAGTAATATTTACCTTATTTATAGATATTTTACCCTAGTCGAAATTCTGGAAATACAAACATTCGCTGCCATGCCGACATAATTTACTATTTCTTTCAATTTACCATAAATTTACTCAAACCCGCACACAGCCTAAATACTGTGTTAAATACATTTAATGTATACAATATATTACTTTTCAATATATTTATAAAAATTATGCAACTTATAATGCATTATGAAAATGATTAAATCATTTAACATCCCTGTTTAATTATACTGCGTTTGGCAAAGAAACATTAAAAAATAAAAATTTTTTTTTGCAATTATTTTTTTTTTCAAGTTTATTTAGAAAATCAGTTATATTTAAAATCAAAAACCAAACAACAAATAGAAATAAGCACTTAATTAATAAATTCCAAAGGATAATGTTTATTTTAAATTGCGCATGGTATACAAAAAAAAATCAGCTGTGGCCGTCGCCCTCACTGCGCAAGTAGTTTTCACCCCATTCCCATGCACTCTAACTGCAGCAGCAGTAGGGATATTTGAAGAGTCGCGAAGTAAAATTCCAATATACAATTTGCCTTGACTATTGATTTAAGCTAAATATACGCTTTAAAAAATGTTAATTATTTGAATAGGAAAAGTTTATTTGTGATTTAAAATTATTAGAAATGTTGCGGCAAGAAAATTTGGCTGCTAATTTTTGTGGACTGCTGGCAAGTCAAGGATTCAAAGGTAATGCTTAAATAAACTGTATTTCACAAAATGTCTAAAGTGATTCCAATAAAAATATTTTATTTGAATTCAGAAAAGGCTATTGAATGGCGTATATTGGGACAGGAGCAGGACGGCTCTGTGCTTACATCGTGGATATTCGAACGGTTGGATGAGTCCACACGTGAACGTTGTATAGGGCATTTTAATGCCACCGCAAAAACATTGCGCATCTTATATCGCTTGAATACTTGTGATGAAGTAATACAAGCTACAATCAATAATTCCGGTTCATTACTTGTGTTTATTGTAAAGAAAACGTGGACTCCTTCGACAGAGTCAGATGCGACAGCAGGTTTACACTATCTAGCCTATATAACAGAAGTACGTTCAGATGGACGTTCAGAAGCTACAGCG